AATCGATCTATACAGAAAAGACAGCATACAAGGGCCGAACTTGGAGAAAGGACACACTGCATAGGAATATGTCCGGAAATGGGGATTTCCCCTTGACCCTTACCAACCATGATGTAATGGTTCAAAAGTATGTCGCCAAGAGATGACGCTCTGATATGGTATCGAATAGAAAGGTTGAGTAATGTATGCATAGTAACAGTGAGTTTGAGATGGCGCGCTTCACTCTTGAACACTCGGACAAAGTAGCTCACTAGCAGACGATATCCCAACGTTTGTAACGTAATCGCAGGACTTCGTTTTGGTTAAATTTGAAATTGATAATCGCTCTTTATGTCTCTTTAAATGGGCAAATACGGATTATGATACAAGCCCCTGCCTTTACCACGCAGCAGTGGTTATATTTCACGATATTATACAAGTAAAGTCAATTCATAGACACTTCTACTCGTACGAGATGCCCACTACGTACACCCCCAGAACAATGCGAACAACACCGTCTACGCGACAGCTTACGTTGCAGGGAAAGGCAACGTAGAACTGAAAGGCACCGTCAAAGTTCATAAACCATGTTTCGCAAGACTGCTGAATAATACGTCACGTTGTACTCATCTTAACAAATATACGTATGTGAGCTATCCCTTTTGCTAAAAACTGATATATGTGATATAGCTGATTATTATAACTGACATAGTATTATAGTTGAAGAGATTGAATAATGTTATAGTGCATTTAACCCCAATCGCTTGTGGGGTTATGGTAGAGTACTTTCGTACCATAGTGGTATTTTTGATTTACTATTTTTAACCACTCTTATTTTCCACTGGACTTTTCATTTTCCTTTTTCTTTTCCTCTCTTTTCCCTCTTTTCCGCTTCCTATTTTTGCAGTTCTCTCTCTCTCTCTCTCTTCCTCTCTCTCTCTCCTCTCTCATTCTTTCTCATTTTCTTTTTTCTTCCATTCTTTCATTCCAATACTTTCCAAATACACACACACACCCATGGTCTCAAGTAGTGTATACAGAATTTTTCTGTTCACAGGAGCTCTGCAATGGTGTTGAACAGCTATGAATACGCCATTTTTGTACGAAGTTTAATGTAATGCATAGGCCATTGTTAAAGGACTTGTTTACTACCATATTCAAATTGTATGCATACAAAGGTTGCTCCTGGTTACCAAACAAAACTTGCCTGAGGCTTGTCCAACATAGCACCATGCGATTTAAGCAGACTGGATTCTAAGTAATGTAATTCATTCATTAATACCAGGTTAATGGAAAAAAATCGTTGGTAAGTCGCCTGGAAAGAAACATCGATACCTCTGAATATGTCAGTAAACCAATCCATTGTCTCGTATTGTTCAGAAATGTTTAGAGAAGTAATTATAATGAAGAAAGATATAATAATGTATAAAGACATATAGAAGAAGGAGGTAGGTCATTATGAAAGAAGGAAAGTAAGATTGGGTAAGGAATGGGTGAACAAGTTCGGAGTGGAAAATAGAGAAGGAGACAAAGATATTTTTCAGTAGCTTATAACAGTTGTCGTAAATTGTTATTGATAACTAATTTTATGAAACAGGGACCAGGTTTTGGGGTTCAATGTCTCAAATCAACAAATCAAATCTTCAAAACCATATCTTCTTCAATACAAGTCTGAATAAACATTGTAAAGATAAATCGAATTGGGTCCATATTGTAATACAAATTGACTCAATTGTACATAGAGAGAAAGAAATGGTATTGTATTTTGAGAAAGACATTCCGACATCGATTTTTTTCCTTTCATTTACTTTAGAGTCAGCTGTGAACAGTAAAAATTGCTCTTTTCTCATGTTATCCTATTCTAAGAGTATACATTTCTACTGTAAGCATACACATGCACCTTTTATATGTTTTACAAAGATCCTAAGTCGGACTTAACTCTAAGTTGGACTTTAACATTATGGAGAGCTATAGCCTTAAAATAAAATATACTCACAAGCAAAAGGTATTTTAGACTTTTCATGAATTTTACATCAAGAACATGAAGTTTCATTGATAATAGAAAATATGAATGATTTGAATCAACAAGTAATGTTTTTAAAAATTATTTTAAAAAAATGTTTTCAAAGATGCTAACGGCTTTCCATAATTGTTAAGTCCCAGGTGTCTTTAAAGTATCACTTGTGTTCATATACGGTGTTTTCTATGGTTAAACTTTTCAATAAGTGCATTTTCCTTCAAAATGTATCTTATCTCGATATGCAAATACAGAAAGCTCTCCCTCGCACACACAAATCTAAAAAGGGGTGATTATTTGTTTTTATGATTACAGATTTATGAATTTACGTATTGGAACAATATAATTATATCTAGTGATAAAGTGCAATGCAATATTACTACATATCATAGAGCAAAATGAAAAGGGGCGTCGTCTTAATTATGTTTAACATCCACTTTTTATCCAAATTCAATTGGTATTTAAAGTCAATATATCACTTAAATTTGCATTCATTAAAAACTGAAATCGAACGCGAAAGTTAAAAATCTATAGCCACCACTTGAACTTGCTTTTACTTACAAAACCAAGAAATGTTATTGAGATTTTTATTTACTCCGTACCGTTTAAGGTCTATGAGACATTTTCTCCAGTAAGGAAGTGAAACATCACTTCCATACACTTAAGCTTTTTCCACATTCTTTTCTTCATTATTTCTGAGTGAACAAACAAGCGGGTAAAATTGGCCGGGTTATTAAAGTGAAAGAAGTATACTAAAGACAATCACGTCTAACGAATTCGAAACCTCTCTGCCCGAATATCGTGATACTTTCAAAATTCGCATGTATTGAAGAGGCTTTGATTTTGTTCCGCTAGGTGGTTTCTGTAGCAGGATAATTTCTGTCGAATCCATCGAAAAGGGCTCTTTTAAATGAATCAAGCACGTCCCTTGCCTACAAAAGCCACCTCAGCATTTCCTAAAAAATCGCTTTGCCTTTAAGAGATGTCACATGATTATTATTTATCTTGTTTATTGTATTTTTTTCTCTCCCTCTCCCCCCCCCTCTCTCTCTCCCTCTCTCTCTCTCTCTCTCTTTTCTATCTGTCATTCCTAAACTTCATCTTTCTTGATTCATGATGATTCATTGATGGGTCCAAAGTATCACTATTGTTAAAAATCTAAAAAGGAAATAAATAATAAAATGATGGAAGACTATTTATTCATCAATATTGATAACCTTTCTAAATCAAACATCGTGAGCATTAACTAGCTTCGTACACTTCTCATGCGAAGTAAATCATCTTTCATTTTCAATCCAAGAATCGTTTTCTGGGCATTTACAGTGATATGAATTCAGTGCATTTTTGTCTAATGCTGATTAAACTTCGATAAAGACTTCATTGTTTTGCTTGTCTTCAAAACAAATTAATTGGTAAGTTTTATTTCGTAATAATAATGATATTTGATCTTGTTTACTATCTCTCTGTCTGTCCCTCGTTTTCTCTCTCCCTCTTTCTCTCGCTATTTGTCTGTTTCTCTCCCTCTTTCTCTCTGACTGTCTCTACTTAAATTCTTCGATAGCAAACAAAGAGCGTTTAGGTGCTTTATACCATGCAATAGACCAACATGCGAAGCTTGATTTAGGTTAGTTCATTCTCACCATTTATGTGTCCAAACTATCATTATTGTTACGAGTACAAAATATAATAAATGAAACGGTAATAAAAGAATATTTATTCATACAGCAATATATCATATTTCGATATCTAGATAATGATAATCTCTCTGAAGCGAACATCAGGAACAATAACTAGCTTCTTATACTTCTCAAGGGATATATAACATCTTTCATTTTCACTCGAAATTGCTGGTTCATTTGTTGCGTTTTACAGTCATTTGAAATAAGTGCATTTTTGTCAATCACGGATTTAACGTCGATTAGGACTGTATATTGTTTCTTTTGTGTTTAAATGAAACAAATACAAAGGTAAGTTTCCTTTTCTGGTTTAGGAATTATTTTTCAGTTGCCTTTGTTGTAATAACTGTTGTGTGGATAGGAAGAAGGATTTTGCAACAACAGAGGATTAATCCAAAATATGAACTATATTAGTTAAAAAATACCCAATAATGTTATCGTGCTGAGCGCTTGGCGAGTTTTGGGGGAAGGTAGGGGAAGAACAAAAATTATACTACATGTATCTATTGCCGTAAATGACGGTGTGTGATGGTGCCATCATTATGGTGCTGATGATCATCAGTAGATCAGTAGATCTAGGCTTTGATTAAAGACGGATATGAACCAAACATATTCTGCCTTTATTGCAGTTTCATGGACGGTATTCCGAAACTGTATTGACTACTATGTTAACTACTCTTTTAAGTCCCAAAGTTAACATATACATTTTACATATCTCCAAATCCGTATTCTGAAAACTATATTATGGGCATGTTTTCTTCTTTCAAGTTACACCCACGACACGCATATTTTGTCAAAGTGTATGACTCAGGAGGATCTTTTCTTTTTAGAGGACCTATAATGATTTGCTTTCCATTATATGAATACAAATTCTAATCAAATTATACATTTTCAGTAGTTTGCCCAAATGATAAGGTGCTTTTAAGGAGAAAAACATAAATTGATAATATTTACAGTGGACGATTAAATGAAGGGCAGTCACTGCGGCTGATCGGTTGCCAAATGTCGTGCAGTTCGAAAATGTTCGATACGAAACAACTTATTTCAGATAAAAACGGGCATTATCTTGCCGCAAACACGAAGATGAGAAAAATTCAATTCTGTTTCATTATAAGCTAATGTATTTTTGTTTGGATATAGTGTGATTCCATTTAAACTTATCAAAGAAAATGAATGCCTTGGTTTGATTTTAAGGTCCTCGAAAAAAAAAGGATTGTATGCACTCAATTTGTTTGAAATAGGAACGACATATGTCTTCTCCGGAAGTCATAATTTCATTTATATCATTGTTAACGGTGCAGGTTATTTTCTACCATCTGCTCCTCATCATGGCGTCCAAGTTCTCATCAGAGAGAGATGAAAAGGTCAAGCTACACACTCGAAAAGGTCACGACATGACATGGTCATGTGACAAACACGGGGAGCCAATCAAATTTTACTGCAAAGAACACAAAATCCCCGTTTGTCATCCATGCGCTACAAAAGATCATAAGCCGTGTGAGCTAGACGACATCGAGGATGTCATCTTGGAGAGGAGGAGGATACTGGATGACAAGCAGCAAGAGATAGAGGAAATGAAGAAACAACTGAAAGCGCTTGACTCTAAACTGGATTCCACTGTAACCTCTGCAAGTAACCATTTTCAATCAGTCAACGATGAACTTAAGATGGCATTCGACGACAAATTAAAGATTGTGAAAGACAAAGAGAAACTATCGATTCATTTGATCGACGAGGAGGCGGATAAAGAAATACAAATAATTAACGAAAAGAGGGAAAGACGGATCAAATCATGTCACGAAGAAGCAGAACAACAACAACTAACCATCAAAGAAAGCCAAGCAAAAATCGAATCAGACACAAAGGCAATCAGCGAGGTGGTTGCTAAAAAGATAAAAGATCTCACAAGTAAGAATCAGCATGCAATCAGCACTATGGATAATGTTGACGCCAATATCAAACGAATCAAACAATTTGACAAAAGATTGGTGAATGAAGCTATGCAAGTACTTGCATCCCTAGATAACGTTTTGAATTTGAAAGATGTTAGCGACTGTCTTGACCGAATACAGCGTGAGGTTCAGAAAGTAGGGTTTGTCGAGGGTGAGGTAGGCGGGGAACACTCCGGGAGAATTGACGGCTATATCGATCGGCAAATGGGAGCTTGTCAAGTCAATTCACATTACATCGATTGTTAATTACCCTTTGGTGTGTGGTTTGATCAGTGATGTTGAGATATGTGTGCGGGACGTACATAACAATGCCACGTATGTTACAAATATCAGCACTGAACACACACAGAATGTCATTGAAGGAGGAAGTAACATGTTCATTACAACATGCGCCTCCGTAGACAGCAACGTAATATTATGTGGTAAGTGGAGACAAGGCCGCACGGGTGACAGCTTGGATGGAGGTATCACTCTCTATGACAGACAATGGAAGGTGGTTAGAGACATCAGCATACCGAGGAATACCAGCTGTATCAATAGTGTGTTCGTTGATGTTGACCGGGATGGGATGATCCTCGCCGCTCAGTACATTAATATCTACGTCATCAACCCTGCTGATGGTAAGATATTAAACACTATTACGATGCAGGGCAAGAAGGTGAAGCGTGGGATACAAGCCTTGTCATCAGGTGATATCGTTGTGCAGACAGGTAATAATGAATTCACTGTCATCTCACGATCAGGAGAAGAGAAGGCTGTCATACACTGTGATGAGTGGTGCGCGTCATGGTGTCGCGTTGACAAACTGACAGACACAGTCTACATCACATACTTGGATACAGAGCGTAATATCTACTCAGTTGATCAGGTGTCATGGGATGGTGTCATCCAGGCAAGGAAGATCGTGGAATACGAGGAATCATCCCGAGGAAAATACGTTAGCCCATGCATCGTCACTCCTTCTGGTAATCTTGTATCTTGTAACGGAGACACGTTGTTTGTGTACAAGAAGAGATTTATTTGATAAGTCACCAAAAGAAATACACCGAAATCCTTAAATTGCAGGTCTAATTAGCCTCTATTGACTACGCTTATCTGGTTTTGCATATAAGCCAGTTGAAGTTAAAGCATTTGCATTTCTCACGAAGGATTTGTGTTCTTAACATATTGAATTATAACGGATTATTTTTATTTCATATTACTTCGAAATTTCGGTGAGTTTTTAGAAGTTGTTAGAAACCCCATTCCCGAAATAAAACAATGTTTTACCTTTCAGTTATTACATCATATTTGTTTCTCAATATGCCATTGAAAATTAGAATCATAGTAATTTCTATGATTTCTATATTAATTGAACAACGCGTTTGGGGAGTACTTCTTGTGTACAACATGTTTAAAATATGCCTGACGAACTTCTTTCTTAAGTATCTGTTTAATATTTGTGTACGATTAATTTGAGTTTAATGAACATGTTTTTGAAACTTTCATGTGGACAAATATTCAACGTATGGAATTAAGATAAAGCATGGATTGAGACAAATTCTTAATAGGCCTGGCCACTTTGAAACAGTTTATGTTTGTAAAAAAAAAAACTTGATATCGATAATACTAAGATTTGGCGATTTTTATTCCATTTCTAAAGTTATCGCGAGGTTTCAAGGGGGGTTTTGGAGAGGCATATGTTTCCCCAAATCTTGTCAGGTTCAAAGCATGTTTTATCAATATAATATCAGTGATGTGTAATATTAGCTAGAACATCGAATGTAATGACCAAATCGTTTGAAATTGTGTGGACGATTTCATGAACCGAAACATTTGAACCATCATATTGATTTATTAGTGATTTATATTTGTATCATTGGTATAATTTGTGATAGTATTGTATTAAAATACTTGTAAATTGTAAAAACCAACTCTTTTGAAGTTTTGTGGACAATTTAATGAACCAAGAGATGGAATTTATCATGTTGACTAATATCTTTGAATCATATTATTGATTTATGCTTATTACGATAGTATACTGTAAAACAAGTTATCCGGTGGTGGATGTCCAGGGGGTAGGTGTCCGGATACGGTTAATTATTTGATAGTTTATGTCCAATAATGTTATTTCCTTACTACAATAAGATCGTAATTATTCAACTATTATAATCATTGTATACGATATGTATCTCTGTTAATTCATGCATATTTAAATCTTTAGATTAATTATGTCTTATATTGTATTATTGATTGTTGTAAAGCTAATAGGGAATTCATTATTATGCGCTGTATTATAATGATGTTATTATTATTATTAATCTAAAAGCCGTCAACTAAAAACAACGCCTACCCTTTATGAATCGTATCAGTTCTGGCGACTTATTTTACTCTTTATCTCTTCTTTGGTTTGTACTTTTCTCCTCTATATTACCCCCCCCCCCTAAGTTGTACATACAAGTAAACGTTTGTTTAGTATACCATTACCCACAATATTGGCACTGTTCATGTAAAAGTGTATTTTAACCAAAATCATGTTATCATTAATGTGTGGACTGTTTGTTGGAAATACTGTATGCTTGTTTTTTTGTCGACGTATGTTATGCCGTTAAAGGTTATATAAAAATATCATTAAAGGGATAGTTGAGTTCTGTTTTTTAGACCGCAAATGCCTTCAAAGTGCATGGTAATTGCTCTATTTCTTATCTATGACGTTTTCCTAGTGCCCTTTTAGAACCTAAAATTGCTATGAATGTAATTTTAGACCCCAAAATGTGTGAAATTTAGCCAATACGATCATACTAATGTAGCTCTACTTTCAAAAAAATATGGTGACCGTTAATAAATAATTTAATTCAAAATAACAATACATGGGCCGGCTGGTTGTGTGTAATATAACCAACACGAAAATGCCAACAAAAAGCCAATATCGACATTGGCTGAAATACGACGTAAAAGGCGCTATTTCCTTTTGTTTCGTTTTTTTTCCAACTGCTTTTTCAAATTATCTAATACTGTTTTCACACTGGCAATATTTTGCTTAACCCCGTATTATAGGTGGGGTTAAGGGGGGGGGGGTCTTAGCCCCACCTATAGTACGGGGTTAAGCCTATTCCACTTTCTGTTCAGACTGGCTTTTACCAAAGTGGGCTAAAGTTGGCTAACCCCACCTATAGTACGGGGTTTAATAACTAACCCTGCAAAATAGCAGGGCTAACCCCGCAATTGTGGTGCTAACTCCTGCTAACCCCGCAATTGCGGTGCCAAGCAAATGAATGAGAACAAAAACGAAATATAGTCCGGTACTACGCAATGGAGCGTATCGCAGCTGGCCAGATGCGAAGTATTTCCAATCATAACATTCACGATATCCGGGGTTAACGAATTGCAGTGAGAACAGCATAAATTTTCTTATTCCGGAATAGGCACTAGTACGGGACTAAAAACAGCGCGTGTGAAAAGCCCCCAAAAATAGTCCGGGGTTAAGGATAGCACGGGGCTAAGCAAAGTACGGGGTATAGCAAAACCAGTGTGAAAAAAGTATAATATTTGTGGTGGTACACAAGTATTAGAAATTGTTATATTTCAGCCGTCTCTGAACCGATTTTGATCAAACAAAGATGATTTAGTCAATTAAATATTATGTTCTTTCAAATTTGACACTCAGTTTTTCATTATGTCAAAACAAATTATTTTGTGTAGCGCCCTCTGCAACAAAACTCAATTATCCCTTTAATGAAGATTATTCTTTTAAATGTACACTATTTTTTTATATTTTTTTTTGACGGGGGGGGGGGGGGAGGGAAGCTGGTTATGATTGCAAAATTTGCAACATTATGCAACATTAAAATGCAACGAATAGCTTCTTTAATGAAGCAGTAAATCTATTGCATTCGTTACATTAAAGGTAAAGACCAGTATTGGAAACGCCCCAATTTAAAAAAAAAAGGAAATGGAAGCTCTCTATTACCAATCATGTGAAAGAATATGTTTTGACTAATACATGATGATAAAAGTTTTGCCGGGAAACCGCCTACTAATTGATATATTTGGTAAATTAGTTTATCTATTGGTGTTTGAGAGATAAACGCACGTGTCCCGCACGTGTGCGTAGTCCCATATACATTTTTCTGTGTACAGTGCTCGTAACTTTACGAAGACTGGGCCAAATTTATTATCATTTTGATGATTCCAGAACCTTGCAGTACACACCAGTACTTATATGCTAGATGATCAACCTTTTCTGATCGATTCTACAACGTTTCTTTCACAATGCTATCGCACAGCCGATCCACATAATATCCTAGGTAGAACTATGGATCCTTGCGCTCGATATCCGTAGGTACGACCTAGGCCAGTGCCGTCTCCCCGTCTTTAGTGACGCAGAATCCAAGGTCTAACCAGGGAAACTGGTCTCCGTATAGCAGCATGTACATTACGCTGATCCTTTATATACGTATACAAACATTACAAGCGAATAATGGTGCTTGGTATTAAAGGATGCTGATTGATTTTAAATAGTTTTTCTGTTTGCATGTAGACCTATTTGTTACATTTTAAAAAGACGTTGTTTGAATTCTGAGCCCGAGGGGGGGGGGGGGGGGGGGGGGGTATAGCAGGAGTAGGCCTACCTTCGTTTTTTCTGGTATTATTTGCTAATGTTAATTGAACTTGATGGCGGCGATTTTTGTTTTGGTCTTAGCTGGGGGGGGGGGGAGCGGGGGTGCATTGTGGTTTTAAAGGTTTTGAGTGCTTTTCCCATCACACAGTCTAGTCTATTATCCATGACAAAATGTGGGGTGGGGAGGGGGCAGTCTTGACTCACCTTTTGCTGAAAAATATGACGGAATAAACCAAAAATGCATTAAAAAGATTTGTTTTTTTCTAAATTTCGGGGGACGACCCCTCTAATAATTCATGGAGATGCGCCCCCCCCCTATTTGTCCTCTTGTATTGTTTTCCCTTTAAATAGGTCTTAGGTTGTCTAGCATTTTTAAAACATAGCATACTCTCTTCTTGCATTTTGTCAACATTTTAGGGGGGACGTACGATCCAGTGATTGGACCCTCACCCCATCTCTTCCTGTAAAGGGAGTTTTATCCCCAAAATATTTCGATAAGGAAGAGAAAATAAATGTGGGTCTAATGACGAAATGACGGAATAAACCAAAAATGCATTAAAAAGATTTGTTTTTTTCTAAATTTCGGGGGACGACCCCTCTAATAATTCATGGAGATGCGCCCCCCCCCCCTATTTGTCCTCTTGTA